GCCCGCCGCCGGCGAGGGCGGCGAGGCGCTGCTCATGCCGCCCGGCGGCGGCGGCGTGCGCGGCGCGCGCGGCGCGGCCGAGGCGCCGCGCGAGGCGGCGCTCGCGCGCGCCTGCGCGCAGCGCTGGGCGCTCCCGGACGTCCGCCGCGGCGCGGGCTCCGGCGCCGCGCGCGTCGCGCCCGGCGGCTCCGCGCTGCTGCTCTTCGTGCACTTCGAGGACGAGGTCGCCGGCGGGCGGCGCCAGGCCTGGGCCGCGCGGCGCGAGGCGTCGCGGCTCGCGGCGCTGCTGGCGGCGCACGGCGGCGGCCGCGTCGCCGTCGCGGGCACGGGCCTCGACTACTACGAGAAGCGGCGCGACCTCGCGCTCGGCGGCGCGGCGGCCTTCGTCGCCGTCGGCGGCGCGGTCAACGCCACGAGCCGGCCGCGCTACGACGAGGCGCGCGCGCGGAACGCGGCGCTGCGCCGCGCGCGGGACCTCGCGGCGCGGGGCGGCCTGCGGATCGCGGGCGTCGTCTTCGCGTCGGCCCGCGCGGCGTGGTGCGCCGAGGACGCCCTGCGCCTCGCGGCGACCCTGTCGTCGAGGGGCGCGGCGGGCGCCGACGTCGCCTGCGCCGCGGCGCTCGACGAGCGGGCCGACGGCGCGCCGGGCGCGAAGCTCCGCGGCGACAGCCTGGGCGCGGGCGGCCGGGGCCTCTTCTTCCGCTTCGCGCCCAAGGGCATCGACGACCGCTACGAGCAGACCTGCGACGGCGCCCTGCGGCCGCCGTCGCAGCCCGGCGCGCCGCGGGACAACTGGAGCGGCGACCTCGTCCCGCGCGTCGGAGGCGCGCCGAAAGCCGCGCACGGCGGCGCGGCCGTGTGGCCCGCGCTCGTCTTCTCCTGCTGGTCGCCGCTGACGGCGGTGAACGCCCGGCACCTCTTCGGGGAGCTGAGCCTCGACGACGACGCCGCGCGCGGCTTCCGGCCCGCGGCGGTGCCGGCGCTCAAGTTCCGCGTCGCCGTGCGCCACATGGGCGAGTGCGACGCGCCCGCGCCCGTCATGCTCGTCCTCGACGTGCACCGGCGCGTCCAGTCGTCCATCTACGGCGGCAAGGCCGTCGTCATCTACGACGGCGCGGCCGCCGTCGCGCCGGCGCCGGACGGCGGCGCCGCGCTCGGGCGCCGGCGCGCGCCGCTCGCGCCGAACCGGTCCGACGCGGCGCTGCGCCTCTTCGGCGACTTCCCCGCCGCGGCGCCCAAGCACGTGCGCTGCTGCGGCGAGGAGGAGGACCCGGGCGGCTGCGTCTGGCGGCCCACGCTCCTGGAGCGGACCGAGGGCTCGGGCACGGCCGAGGCGCTCGAGCGCGCCGCGGCGCAGCAGGAGGCGGCCGTGCTCCGGGGCGAGGCGTCCTGGATCGAGCGGCGCGAGGGGAAGAAGGTGCGGCGGGACCCCGCCGAGGCCCTCGCGCGGCTCCGGGACGCGGCGCGCGAGGAGGACGTCCCGGAGGACCCGCGCGACGCGTTCCGCCGGTCCTGGGCCCGGAAGCGGCGCGCGCGGGGCCGGCGCGTGCTGGGCGAGGAGGAGCCGAGCTCGCGGGACGCGAAGAACCTGCGGTCCGCCATCCTCGAGGAGATCGTGCGCCGGCGCGAGGTCGAGATCGCGGCTTTGAAGAACGCGGAGGCGGACCCGCTCTACGTCGCGGACCTCGGCGACGACGACGGCGCGAAGCGCCTCAAGGCCGAGGCCAAGGCGGCCTTCACGCGCATCGTGACGCTACCGAAGGTCATCCCCGCGAACGCGACGGCGCCCTGGGCGTCCGCGATCCCGCGCGTGATCTTCCAGACGTTCCGGTCGCGGTCCGTGCCCTTCCGGCTCCACGAGGCCGTCATGAGCTGGTCCCGCGCGAACCCGGCCTACGAGCACCGCATCTTCGACGACGACGACATGGGCGCGTTCGTCGTGGAGACCTTCGGCTGGGACTCGCGGGAGATCCGCGCGCTGAACGCGGCGCCGTCGGGCGCGCGGCTGCGTGGAAATCGACCACGGGTTTGGGGGGTCCTGACCAAACTTCAGAATTCTCTAGCTCGGTCACATCGAAGTCGATTCGGCTGATTTTTGGACGCATCGATTGTTCTCGTCGAGTTCTCGAAGCACAGCCGAAGAGTAGAAACTGTCGCATACGCTCACATTGCAGTCGGGTCGAAGATTTGAATTCGGCACAGGCGCGCAGCGCGCGGACCTCTTCCGCTACCTCGTGATCCACGCCCACGGCGGCGTCTACGCGGACGCCGACTCCGTCTGCGTCCGGCCCCTCGACGCCTGGCTCGACGCCGACGAGGACCGGCTGGTCGTCGCGCTCAACGGGCCGCCGCGCTTCGACGTGAGCCAGTGGGCCTTCGCCGCGCCGCCGGGGCACCGCGTCCTCGCCGCGGCCGCGGCGCTCGCCGTGGACAACCTGCTCCGGAGCTCGGGCAACCTGCCGCGGAAGCGCGGCGCGAAGAAAGCCGGCGCCTTCCCGAAGAACTTCACCGCGCGGCCGCCGAACGTCGTGCCCGTGTTCCGGGGCCTCCGCCGCGTCTTCCGCGAGGACCCGCCGGCGGCCCTCGCGGCCTCGGAGCCGGCCCTCGCCGCGGCGGCGGCGCGGGACCGCGAGACCAAGGGCGGCTACGACGTCGAGGCCCGCTGGGAGTGCCCCGTGGCCAACGTCAACCAGATCGGCGACGAGGGGCTCACGGGGCCGCCCGTGCTCCAGGCGGCGCTCGAGGCCGTCGCCTACGCCGACGCCGGCGTCGGCGCCAAGCTCAAGCTCCCGACCGTGCTCCTCTCGTCCGACGAGCGCCTCCAGTTCACGCGGAAGGACGGCTCGCCGGACCCGGCGGTCGCGCGCGCGACGGCGAACCGGCCGCTGTCGCTCGGCGAGAGGTTCGCCGTCCGCGCGGCCTTCCGCGAGCTCGTGAGCCTGCGCCCGCCGGAGTTCGGCGCGGCCATCAACTCCAAGTACGCCGACGAGCAGTCCTACAAGGACGACCTCGCGACCGCGGGCGTGAAGCACTGGTCCGACGCGTGGGCCGAGTACGACATGGGCATCTACAACATCCTCAACCCGCAGACGCCGCCGACGCCCAATCCGACGCCCGAAGTCCCGGAGACGCCCGCGCCGACGCTCGCGCCCGTGGGGCGCGAGGACCTCGGCAGGCAGCTCGACGCGATCCTCGAATCCGCGCGGCGCGCGCGCGAGCGGCGCGAGAGCGCGGAGCGGGGCGTAAGCTAGTTCTACCGCCGGATGCCCGGGGGCGCGGCTTACAGCTCGAGCCGGCTCGTGGGTGCTCGCTGAACTCACTGTCGACCTCTTGAGGCAAGCCGTCGCAATGTGCTGCTCCCGAGGCCTCGGCGCGCGCATAGAAGCAAACTAACGACGATGGCCGCAGCCTCGTCGACCGCCGCCGACGCCGCGGCGAAGGTCGAGGCCCTGTGGGCGCCGGCGAGCGCCACGACGTCGTCGCTGCGCCTCGCCCTGTCCAACGTCGAGGTCGCGCTGACGCTGCTGCGCGAGCGCGGGCGCTACTTCGTCGCCGCCGAGGAGTGCGCCGGCCTCCTGCGCGCGGCGCCGCCGGAGGACGACAACGGGCGCGACGCCTACACGACGGCGCTCACGCGCTGCGTCGAGGCGCGCGCGTTCCTCGCGGAGCGCACGAGTTCCTTCGCGGGCGCCAAGGACGAGCTCCGGCGCGTCGACGCGGTGCTCGCGGCGGCGCTCGACGGCGTCCGGGCCGCGCTCGCGGCGCGCGCGGACCGCTTCGGCGACGCGGCGCTGCTCCGCGACGGCAAGTGGCGCGCGGCGGCCGCGGCCGACGACGAGGACGCGCGCGCCGCGTGGCTCTGGGGCGCGTGCGCCGTCGTCGCGGGCGCCGACGACGACGACGACGACGCGCGGAACTCCGACGACGACGACGCGCCGGACCACCTCGAGCCGCTGCGCACGGCGACGACGGGCGGGTCGTCGCCGCGGCGCCGCCGGTCCGGCGACGGCCCGCGCGTCGCGCTCGCGAAAGCCTACGGGACCGCGCGGCGCACGCGCGGCGAGGGCGCCGTGCGCGCGTACCTCGACGCCGCGCCGCCGCCGCGCCACGACGTGCCCTACGGCCTCGGGAGCCACGGCCTGCTCCGGACCTACGCGTTCTGCCGCGCGGGCTTGGCGGGCGAGCGGTCCGCGGCGCGCGCGCTCGCGCGCGGCGCGCTCGGCGGCGCGGCGCCGCGCGAGGCCCTCGCCGCCGCCGCCGCGGCGCCCTACCTCGACCTGCTCAAGCGGTCGTCGCGGCGGGCGCTCGCGGCGATCGCGTCCGCGCCGGGCGCGCGCGGCGACGACGGCTCCGTCGCCGCGCGGCGCGAGGCCGCGCGGTGCGCCCTCGACCTCTTGCTGCGGCACCGCGCGTCGGCGGAGCGGCCCCTGCGCAAGGCCTGCAAGCAGCTCGACCGGTCCCTGCTGCCGCGGCTCGACGAGCTCGCCGCGGATTTGACGCAGGGGGCCGTGGACGCGCTCCGCGCGGCGCTCGACGCCGTCGCGGGCGACGGCTCCGCGGACGGCGACGCGCTCGCGCTCGCGGGCGCCGCCGCGGCCTGCGTGCGGCGCCTGCTCGCGCCGCCGACGCGCGCGGCCTTTAGCCTCCTGCGCCTCGCGCCGGGCGGCGCGCCGCCGCCGTGGGCGCGCGACGCGCCGGGCCGCCGCGCGGCGCTGAGCGCGTCCATGGTCGCGGCCGCGGACGCGCGCGACGCCCTGCTGTGTTTGCGGGCCGTGAGCTCCGACTTTGGCTACGCGGCCTTGAAGGGCGCGGACGCGCGGCGCGCGGCCGCGGCCGCGGAGTCGCCGCGGCGGCCGACGCTCCGCGGCGCGGCCAAGGCCGTCATCGCGACGACGGTGCTCAAGCGCCTCTCGTCCATGCGCTCCAGGTCGAACGCGGACCTCGACGCCGCCGACGCGCCGCCGCCGGCGCCGCCGCGGAGCGCGCCGCCGGCCGACGACGCGTGCGA